GTCTTACCATTTTTGCTTATAGAGTTTATGCAGATAGCCAAGCGGCTTTGAAATTACTAAAGTAGCTTAAAGTTTTAATGATAGCGGAATAATGCCTTGTTCACTTATTGGATTTAACGTCATATTTCACGATAAACCTACATAGATTCCAGGACAGAGATATATTGCAGGTTACTGTGAAGCAGCAACTGAACTAGACAGAGTAGACACCACCCTACATTTAGAAGTAAACTAGACTACTTCTTGATAAATATATGTGACCTGGTCTGCGAAAAGGAAGCTAACGTGCGAAAACTAAGTTATGACTTTTTGGATTCTATCACGTGATCTTCAATCCGAATCAACTAAAAAGTGAAAATTGATTTTTTGACACCTAAACCCCTTTCCGTAGACCAGGTCACATATATATATTATAAATACATATAGCTAGATCTCTGTAGAGTCAATATCTACTTTACTTGCTCAACCAGTAGGCAATCTTGACATAAAACCGAACACATCACTGACTAATTGACAGCCGTGCCAACTAACGTCAGAATGCAGAAGAAGAAAAAGCTGTAGAACTTCTTCATCGCGAATTCAAGGCTTTTATATTAAAAGAATGCCTAATATTGCCGACTTTTTGGCAATGTCTCGGACGTAAAAAAAACTCAACGTTTTGTATTGATGGTCTTTATCAAGAGCTCAGGATGGTTCTGAGAAGTTCTCGATTATTTCACAATGGGCTGGTTGCAAACCTTTAAATGCAGTTATCTGATAGAAACCGATTTATTTTCTGGTCTAATTTCCGTATGGTCAAATAAAAATTTGTGAAAAAACAAGTATTCCGAGACTTACAAGCTCTGGTAGTCAAATATTGGCAAGAGAGCAAAAGTACACGAAGACCACAAAGTATTGTTATAATTAGTACGAAATCGGTATAATCAAAAAGACATTTGAAGTTGAAAGACTGGATCGAACGGAAGATCCAAAAAATTTGAACGCCCTAACTGAAAAAAATTTTTCGAAGTATTATGTATGTCGCTATCGCCAAAGAGTTAGAGCAAGTTGGTAATGCGAAAATCAGTCCTATAACTGTCCAAGAACCACCACTTTACACCACTAAACAGCCGCACTTCTCGAATGGTATTCAGTAACTTTTATAGATGACTGGAAATCGAACTTATTTGGATCTGATAGTCGTCGATTTATATGGGATAAGGAGGGCGAGGCGTTTAAAAAAAAATATTGAAATCAACATTGAGAAGCCTGCCTTATAGTGTGTGGTAATTTAACTCGTCAGCATTTTAAATAAATTTAAAAGTGGTAACGCTTTGTTCAAGGTAACGATCAGAAGCATCCTGCTTTATTGGTTATGAAATCTCTGTTTTTCAACTTGAAGAAAGCACTGCCGTGGCCTCTCCAAAGTACAGACCTCAATCACATTGAATACCTAAATACCTATGTGCCTATATAGACACCAAGTTCTGAGAGGTATTGGGAAAAACCGAATTTTTAAAAATAAATTTGGATGCAACTCAAAAGTTCAAGAGATAAAATACTTTATCTCCCCGTACAAGTTTTTATATATATATGTATATTTATTTCCTTATCCTTTCTACAACCACCGCTGCGGAAAGAAATGCTTCGCGGTTCGATGCAGCTGCCGCAGTCATCCTCCAATGCGAAGCCCATAAAGTACATACATAGATATATTTACAATCGATAGTAGGATAGTTTCTGGTATTCTCCATACTTAACGATTTTGTCAATTCATATTCTTTTATTCGTAGATAAACACAAAACAGCTGATATGGCATTTCTAACTTTTGTATATAGAAATGAGAATAACTGTATAATGTTAATAAAGCTGAAAAATAAATACGAAAATATTTCAGACTTTCGAATTTGGGGGACATATTCAGTTATTTCGAATACTTTCTAGTACTGCCTGTAAACATTATCTACAAATTTTGAGTCCTACAAATGTTGGACCTACTCCGTTTGTTCTGACGGCACATTAACGCGATTCAAGCGGTATGAAATGGCCTTTAAAGAGTGGTGCAGGCCTGCCGTATAAACTGTACCAAACCCACCCACCACCGAATTGTAGTAACGCACTCAGTCCACCAAACCTTGGCGCCCACCTCATCCGTAAATTAATGTATTTGCTTTTAAAGCAAATGTCAAATCACCTAAGCATTCCGGTTCGCTAGCAGAATTCATTTCACTTTCAAATCGTCCGTCAGTCAATGAGCTCTATGCTCTATTTTGTTAGATGTCAAATTTTTCGCTAGAGCGTTTCATGTTGACGATCACACGATCACCACGGTAAGTGAAAGCAGTTTGAAGCCGCGCCCACAAATCAACAACAACAACGCATACAACGCCAAGCATAAATATAAATATGGTTAATTGAAACACACTCATAGTGCATATATGTACATATATGTATGTACATATGAATATAGAGTGTTTATATATGTATGTACATATAAGCAATTGACGGAAGCAATTTGGCTCAAACGATAAACAACAAATGGTTTGTCTTGTGTCCAAGCAGCTCGGCAAAACTCTGTGACACGTATGTACATATATATGTTGTCTTCGTCAACATTTGTTCACACATCGGCATATACAAACAGATATGAAAATATAAAAATAAATGTTATGACAATATGTTATTTTCAAAGCGTAGAATGACAACTATTCTCGCAGCTTTATAAATAAAGGCAGCACATAGACATACATATGTACATATGCGCTCCCTATATATGAAAGTAATAACCCTGTCGGAAACTCACTTGTACGAGTGGCATCCGCCAGTTGTCCTTGTTATTGCGAAAACTCAATACTTAACACATTTTTAGCATTTAAAGCACATAAAATGAAACGTTGTAAACCCTATATATACATATGTATAAATGATCATATATGAAGTGATATAATGAAGAGCTGAGTCGATTTAGCCATTTCCGTCTGTATATACGCAAACTTCTTCTTTATTGGCTAAGAACTGGAGTGTTTTAATCCATTCGGACGACATGACCTATCCAGCGTAGCCACTGTCTCTTAATTCGCTGGACTACTTGTATCAATGTCGTCATATATCTCGTACAATTCATCGTTCTATCAATTGCGGTATTCGCCGTTGTCAATGCGCAAAGGACCATAAATGTTTTACCGAACCTTTCTCTACAAATCAGATCAGATGTTGTAGTCGTCTATGCCTCTGCACCATATATCAAGCCGGGGATAATGACTGACTTGTTAGATTCGGTCTTTGTTCGTCGAGAGTGGACTTACTTTTCAATTGTCTACTCAGTCCGAAGTACCACCTGTTGACAAAAGTTATTCGGCATTGGTTTTCGAGGCTGACGTTGTTGTTGGTGTTAATACTGGTTGCAAGATAGACGAAATTATCTACGACTTCGAGGTTATGGGAGTACGTCGACTGTTTGTTTGATGACAGGAGATATTTCGCGAAGAAGTCTTCTTGTCTGAATCCTAGTTTGATATCTGACCTGACAGAGCTTTTGGTGTTACTCAACGTTAGCTTAGGCAGCCGTATTAGCTTTTCGGGGATCCCAAGTTCAGACATAGCGGCATAGAGGCAGTTCTTTTTCGTGCTATCGAAGGTGGCTTTAAAATTAACTAAAAAGTGGTATGTCTGTTTATCCCTTTGACGTGTCTCTTCTAAAATTTAGCGCATGGTGAAAATCTGGTCGGTTGTAAATTTTCCAGGTGGAAAACCACACTGAGGATCAGTTTGTTGACAGTGGGCTTGAGTTTGTCACACAGAGAGCTCAATGGAACCTTATATGCAATGTTGAGAAAACTTATCCCGCGGTAGATTGTGTGGTCTCACTTTTTGTGGGTTGGACAGGTCACACTTAAATTCCAATCGACGAGCATGTTTTCGTTCAACCATATTCTACAAAGAAGCTGATGCATGCTCCTTATCAGTTCTTCGGCGCTGTATTTTAATAGCTCGGCCAACAGTCCATTGCCCCCGCCACTTTATTGGTCTTCAGGCTATTCGGACTTCTTCATGGTCGGGCAAAGGAACGTCTACTCGTGAAATACTCGTTCCGTTTTTCAGACATCGAACTAAAATTTTTACGCGAGTTTTTCCTTCTGTGAAGTTTCCAATTTGTCGGAACCGCCAATATCGGACCACTATGTCATAAGGCTGCCAATCAAACCGAACAATCAGAATAAAGACTTGTATAGAAATCTTCTGCATTTGACGAGATATCTTGAAATTGTTCAGATCTATATCGTAAAGCTGCCATACAAACTGAAGGATTAAGATCAAGTACTTGTAAGGAAAAACTTGAAAAATCACTTGTTGAGATAGCTTCAATAAATCTGGCGTGAGTTATTGTCCAAGCAATCTTCAAAAAATCTATTCAGGTCTAGTCACTATAGCATAAGCTGACCGATCAAATTGTGAAGGGTATTATAGCATGTTTTAGATTAAAAGCACAATCGATGAGTTCCTAGTGAACGTCAAATTGGTTTGGTCTTGAGATTTTTAAGAATTTATTAGCTTAGACAGGTATATGCCTACAAGTATAGTGCAGTCACCCAAATCGATTCTGACACTAATTGGTCTTATGAATCTTTTATAATAATACAACTGGGCTAAAATATGTAAATAGAGCTGAATAGAAAAGATTCCTCAAGACTGTCATCAAATTTTAGAGATAAAACTGTGTTGCTATTTGACTAAGGTCATCTTAGTCTGACCTATCTACATATATTACAAAAATATCCGACGAATATTTTAAAACGGAAGTTTTAAATTTTACTTCCCTTTCATATGAGGCTCATCCAAATATTCGACGACCGTTGACGTTTATTTGTAGGAAACCAAATGATATTTTTAAATATTTACACAACACTTCAGAAGTACGTATGTACCTAAACGCTTTGCTGTTTCGTAATAGTACGGCTAGTATTTTTCCATCAAAACTTTTTTGTTATTATTTGTAGAGACTCAGTGTCTAAGCAAAATATAATACTTACTCAGCTACCTTCCTTGTGATCTTTTCAAACAAATAAAAGTTAATAAGCATATTTTTACTAATAAGTCCGTACCTTCTTGAACCATACAAGTGATCGCTGTTTTCACAACTGTATTTTCATGTTTACTCTTTATCATTTCAGCAACATTGAGATTTCCAAGAACCCAGAATACGAACACCTATGCGTTTCATAACAAGGCAACGCTCAGCAGTCACTGTGATGAGTTTAAGTAACGTCCACAAGCATTTGAATTTCATCTATAAGCCAGCAACAAATTCAATACAAAACGAAACACCCTAGTGATGAGAGAGAAGGATCACTCACCAAGAAAAATGCTACCCAGCCCTAAGCAAGGGTCCGTTTATCCATTATTAGGCCTTGTGCCCACCACTACATACGCATCACAAGTACCTTATGACCTATCGGTGACGGCGACGCGCACCTCAACGGCTGCTTTGGGTACGTCGCCACTCTCGCTCACCATATCTGCCTTAAGTCAAAGCCACAATGAAGCAAAAAATCGTAAGCGTTGCAGCAGTTACGATCAGCCGCTCGACCTGCGACTGGCGCATAAAAAGCATGACGGCTCCAATGCCAGCGGCGCTTCCTCACCGCTGGAGGATGAGAATAGCAATCTCATATACAATATCACGAACTACAACAACTCCAACTGTCACACCAAACCCACAAACGCTGCGTCGCCCAGCAATCATAATGCGCCGTATGCGAAAACGCCGTCGCAAACTGCGCAAATATTGAACTGTCGTTCACAACGCGAAGTCTCACCGACGGATGTCGGTTGTGAGAAGGAGCTCAATAACAACACGCTGCCATCGCTATGTGCTGACGCAATTGCCGCTAATCTGGAAAGTCTGAGCGGCAAGCATAGCAAACGCTTACGCACGCAAAAGTCCGAATTGGGTGTGGCATGCTTGCGCATCACAGAGTCATTGCATTTGAATGCCGCCGCGGCAGCAGCGGCTGCCGATCGACTACCATTCGTCTCGTCCGCTTTGCATCCCACACTGCTAGAGGCGATGGCGAAGGCCATACCACTGCCCTACCGTAACCCGTTCGTGCTACCGCGTCCACCTACAGCCAGTTCCTTTCCTTTTCTGCAACCGCCGCTGCAAAAGGAAATGCTGCCCGGTTCGATGCAGCTGCCGCAGTCACCCTCCAATGAGACGCCTCTCGAATTCCATTTCGACGGCAGCGGCGGCCGAAGCAATTTTTCCGATGCGCTAACTCATCCGCAAGTCAGCGGCAGCATGAGCGCCAGTCCAAATAAGACGGCACTTAATGCGGGTAATGGCATCAGCGGTTGCACGGCTGGTGGTGCCTCGAAACATTTGCAACAGCAAATCAGCCAGAATCAGCAGCAATTAAACCACCATGCGCGTCAGCAGCAACTTGCGAACACCGCTGGTAATCGCTCAACACTAACTGCGGACGGCGTGCCTATGCACCACAACAGCAAGAAATCAGTGGCCACGTCACGTGCCAATCTGCATCCGAATGCAGCCGGTAACTCGGCAACAGCGCAGTATAAAAGCAAAGATCGATACACATGCAAGTTTTGTGGCAAAGTCTTTCCGCGTTCGGCCAATCTAACTCGCCACCTACGCACACACACCGGCGAACAGCCGTACAAATGCAAATACTGTGAACGTTCCTTTAGCATATCCTCGAACTTGCAACGTCATGTGCGTAACATACACAACAAAGAGCGTCCGTTCAAATGCGAAATATGTGAACGTTGCTTTGGCCAGCAAACAAATTTAGATCGTCATTTGAAGAAGCACGAAAGCGATGCGGTCTCGCTAGGTTTGGGCATGAACGAACGCATACGCAGTCTACGTCGTGGTGGCTACTGCGACAATCCTACTGAAGAATCCTACTTCGAAGAGATACGTTCCTTTATGGGCAAGGTGACACAGTTACCACTCGGCGCTGCTGCTGCAGCGGCCGGCTCCACAATAAATCAATCCACCACGGCTGGTAATCAGGCGTTAGCACCGAAATCACCATCGACACGCAGTTCCACCTCCAGCAGTTCTGAACGCGATTCATCCACCAGTGGTGGCGGTTTGCAAATAGTGCAAAACGATATGTTTTTAGAACCAGAAGCGGAAGCGGAAGTGGAGGCCGACACCGAAATCGAAACGGAAGCCGGAGAGGAGTATGTGGGTAGAGCAACTACAAATGACATGCAAGTGACAACCGAGCCAGTAAATGTGTGTAAAGATGATGACGAAACGACAATAACTACAAAGTCAATAACTGCTGCAACAACAGCAGCAGCTGCGACAAAAAGAGATGTCAACCGTACTGCGCGACAGTCAGGCGACAAAAGTTTGTACTTTTCGCAAACGGAAGTGTGTTTCAAACGTGACAGCAGCAGTAATAGTGGCAGCCCACTATGCGCCACCTGACCTGGCTGCCGGCCACAATTCTGACGCCCACAATGCCTGCGCCTTTAGTTTATAATGTGGATTTTATTGTATCTAATTAAAAGTAATAATATATATTCGTGAATTACGAAGTACGCGTAGCGGCATATTTCTATGTACAGTTAGAGTTAGATAAAAATATTCTCGAGTTGTATGCTATGAGTGCTATGAGTTGTAAGCATAGGAATGCTTTGCTCTGAGATTTATTTGATTGGCCAGTATCGACAGTAAAAGTAAACACGAGGGTCAAAGAGAACAATAACTGTAATATGTACTCAAAAGTTTTTCCCAACAGAAGTTTCTCTGTTTTCAAATGTAACTTCTAGCCATTTTTATGGAACTCTAGATACCAGTGATGTCATTCTATGGACGTTTAAAAAAGCTTCAGTAAAGCGCTTCATACAAAAATAAGCGCAGAAATTGCATATCTTTGTGCGTGCACGCCTTCTTTCTACTTTTACGCGTTAAAGCAATTCCAATGTGTACACTAAAAACTTTTGACTTTAATCCTACTTTTATGTATATTTTTTAATAGAAACTTCCTTGTACGTACAATATACTTATTTACAATTTAGCGCTTGTGTAACATATGTGTTTCTATAAGAAAATCCTTTTGTACTTAGTCCTACTTTTATATGCACATAAATGTATATATGTATGTAGTTATATGAACTTTTTAGGTTATATAGAATTACTAGTTTCTTTGTGTAGAATATTAACGCGTGCCTTTTGTGTATTTAGCTCATGTAAACACTCAATCAACAACCTATTTCTTAATCGTTAAATTATTTAAGTTACTGAAATTTTTGTTAAAAATAAATAGTTTATATATTATTTGTTTATCTTAAGTACCTTTATTAGTTTGTTAAAGAGAAAATTATCAAATTGCCAATGAATAAAGCAATGCAGTTGAGGAATTAAACTCATACAACTATTAATGTTAATGCTACGAACTCAGGGAGGTAACTAACTATTGCCTTGATTAATGAATTACCGCCGAATAATTAAAAAAAAACGTAAGTATAACCGTCTTTGTTCAGTGTTCACATACATATTTCTATCACTTCCAAACAGCTGTTGCAGCTGCCATCCGTCCAATCTCACTGCATTAATCCCGATGGAACAATATCCAGTTAAATTCCTGTAAGCATTAAAAGGTAAACCTTGCTAAAAGTAAAAAGCTCCCTAGACCTTTTCCGATTTACCCCACGCCAGAAGGACCTTGCGTGTGCACAGCTGGGGTTAGTTTACCAGCGCTTGTTGAGCTGGCCAATGGAGTTCCTTTCCTAACCTTACAATTTCCTGCAATATCACTGTCGCCAGGCATCCAAACCAGTCTAATGCTAAGGTAACTTGATGCTAGAGATATGGACTCTAGGCACCCCTTCACCAGTCTTGAGTGCACAGTCAACAAACTGAAGGCTAATATTTTTTCCGTACTAAAGGAGAGAATAGTTCTGAAGTAGGCTGCGTTCTGGAGCAGTAGATGTACTGCTACCTTTATAAGCCACTTTGTTCGCAAGTATAGTCTTTTTTAGCCCCTTCCACCATACAAAAATTCGGTAAATCATTATAGGCTTAACAAAGATTTCATAGATCCAAAGAACTATCTTTGGTGAGAGTCTCCACCTTTTTGCAAATGGCCATTCAGGGCAACCGAAGCTTTCCTTTTTCTTTATTCTGTGTTGGTTTTCCACGATACTTACTTGCCTAGGATGAGCCCTATATACTTAAAGCTGTCAGTAGGCCGAAAATGGTTCCTAAATTTGAAAATCAGATGCTTACGGCTCGACTCTACCACAAACCTATTAATGAACTCTAATAAAACAAACTCTTAACATTCGAGGAAAATCCCTACTGCAAACTCTCTATTCCTCATGTCCTCTCCAGCCAGAAGACAAGAGTGTGCAAGCAGCATCCACTGATCCCCTTTTCCAATGCCTTAGAAAATCAATATCTTGAATATTACTCCTAAAGTGCAAAACAGTCAGTCGCTCTGACGTGTTCCGTAAAAACGATGAAGGACTTTTTGGTCTAAAATCCTTGGCCGACTGATACGAAACCTTTATCCAAGGCCCATGAATATACCCCAATCTAATGCAGTTCGCATAGATGAGTAACAGCCAACTGCACGAGAAGGTTACCGTTCGTTCCAGTTGCGCTTGTATAATACCATCCCTCCCAAGCGAACTTGAAAGGTTTGAATGAGTTGATCGTCCATGTCTGCCAACGTTCACTCAAAAGGCTCGAAAGGGATGCGCAGTCCGTTCCAGGAACTCCGAGAGTTGTGATCAAAAGAGAAGAAATGCTCGGAAAGTGAGCGTCCAGGTGCAGCTTAAGAGTGACCTGGCTTTTCAAAGTTCAGCTAGTGTGCCATCCTTTAAATGCTCCAAGGGTATGAGGTTCTTAGCGAGAATGCGCCTGAACCTTGAAGATTCGTGACAGCCTTCTACTTTTCCGCAGAAGACTTTCACAAAGACCTCTTGGCCTTCCTTATTTCGGACTTATAGATTGTGAGTTTAACCTTATACAGTGCTCAGTCGTCAGTTGCCCTCTTTGCGGGCTTTTTTAAAGAGTTGTATTTTTAGGCCTGCCATGTTTTTAACGGGACGAAAGCGGTTTCAACATTAGGCCACCAGCCATATCTGCTGAATTTCTTCCCAGCATACTCAGGTGGCCAAATATCGAAACCACCAGCCCAGTGTTTAATCCGAAATCCAGAACGTTTATTCCTATTCATAGTCCAGCTTTGAAGCGACCTGTATTAAATCCCCAGTATACCCATTTCTGGGAACGAGGAAGAATTTCAATGATTTGGCCTCACTGACAAACTTATTAAATAAAGACCACGGAGGAAATAACGTATAGAAAAATCATAAAAAGATTGAAAGAAAATAACCGAATATTAATATATAAAGTTTCAAGAGCAAAAACGGAAGAAAGTTGGGCTCGCCATATTCAAACGAAAGATGAGTTATACGGTGAAGTGTATGTACATTTTCATAAGGTTCACACACCGCCTCTTTAAAAGTCTTAAAGTTGATAATTCGAGATACAATCTTTTGCTTCAAACATATGAAATTAAAAATCTTATATATAGTGAGAAGATCGGGTTGGGAAGGGACAGTTTTGGGTTTAAATTTTTAGCAAAGAGACACTCTATCACTCCCTAATCGCTAATAGTCTGATGGTCTCATTGGGCAACGAGCGTGCTTCCGCCTGTCCCAAGACATCGTTATCATGCACTTTAAAAATGGACTTCGTACTACGACCATGTTTATTTCTAACGCAACACCCTCCATATTAAAGCCACTAATACTTTATTCGTTACCTTTACAAGCCCTCTGATACCACATACATATGTATGTATTTGTTTTTAGCTATTAACAATATTTCTAAAGAAATCCTCTTTCCTGGTTCACTAAGTTTACCAGGAATTTTGTAACACCCAGATGGGAACTTCGGAGTCCGTATAATGAGCATATATACACAAATTATTATCATTATCATTGATAAATCTGAATATATCATATTGAAATGACTTACTTCTTGGAGCCAATTTCAATAATTCGTGACAAACATAAAAAACATTTTAGTTTTACAGTTAGCAATTAAAGTCGAAGTACATTAGCCCATAAAAAACATTGTACACTAGAAATAAAAAGCATCACGATTTAGAGAATAGAAATGCAAGTGATTACAGATGCTTCGAATTGGCCTATCCGGTCGCGGCATATAATTGTTGTAATTGAAAATTTAATTAAAAGTAAGTCAATAGTGTGGTTTATTGAATATTAATCAGTCTTAAATTGAAGCACATGATTCGTTTCAGCAAAAACGGCATTGGAGAGCTTTTTTGTTCGAATTACATATGTGTTTGTGTGTACTTCACTGATATATTTTCACATTTTCCGGTTGCGAGAGTTCCGTTTATAAACAAATTTTTTAAAAGTAAATCACCAAGTAGCAGCGGGGTTTCCCATACGGACAATAAAATTACATTAATATCTCCCTTTAAATGGTGCTTGTGTTATTCTTTTCCCACCATAGACTCATGAAACATACTATTTCGAGAGGGTTGGACCATGAAACAGAGTCGTTAGATGAATTGATTCGTGAAAGCACAAAACAAGTGAAAAACGGCTCATACGAATTGTGAAAATAATATTCCAATACAAATTTAATATTCCAACATTCCACCGTCAACAAACTGATTGGATCTTAGCAATGTGGCTTTAAACCTGGAAAATCTACAACCGACCAGATTTTCTCCATGCGCCAAATCTTGGAAAAGACCCGTCTAGTCTACGGAAAGGGGGCTGAGGTGTCAAAAAATCTTAGTTGATTCGGATGGAAGATGAGATGCTTTTTCACGTGATAGAATCCAAAAAATCATAAACTAGTTTTCGCACATTAGCTCCCTTTTCATAGACCAGGTCACATATATATAATTGGCTTCAATAACCGCGCCGGTAGTTCTGCTTTCTCCAGACTAGATAAGGAAGCGTAGCGAATGTGTATCCTAGTCGTGAACGGGGACAAGTAGAAATATCTTCTGTCATCAAACAAACAGTAATTGCACTCGCGACTTGGCACCCACATCACTGTTGACAGTCATAACGGAGTGGTAAATAATTTCGTCTATCTTGGAACAAGCATTAGCAAAAGCAACAATGTCAACCTCGAAATCCAACGCAGAATTTCTCTTGCCAACAGGTGCTACTTCAGACTTAGTAAGCAATTGAGAAGTAAGGTCCTCTCTCCACGAACAAAAACAAAACTCTATGAGTCACTTGTTAGGAACTAGCTTCGTTTGGAATCTCGCGTAAGCTTACTAGAGCTTTAAAAAAATATACTTTTAATTGGTATGCTTTTATTGAAAACCTTTTTACATACAACATTTAAGAGTTTTAGTTATAAAATATAGAAAAATTTAGTGATTTTGAGCAAATTTGTATCACAATCAAAGTAAGAGCAAATAAATAATATAATTTAAGTTGTTCAATCGTTAATCTATTTTGTACCTGAGGTGTATAATTTAAATAAAGTCGAATTTTGTCATAATTTCAAACAAAAGAGGCTAAAACGCTTGCGTCTTTGAATTTCTTGACGCGTTTGCGTCGTTTTGGTGGAGAGGCCTATGGGATAAATGGTTTGTGCCCATTGATTTCTGGAAGAAAAATTTTATGATTTACTCATAGAGTCTGGGCACACATATACAGGTATACTCTTTATAATCCACCTCTTGTCAACTGGCAATGCTTTGGACGGCATGGGTGAATAACGGAATCTACCATGCTTACGATTGAAACGATGAAATTTGTACTTTTTCTCATAGTTCATACAGCTTCTAAAACAGATGCAAAGATGGAAAACGCTTTAATAATCTGAGCAAACGAGACGCTAATACACACTTTTGCTGCGCTGCCACCTTATTCAACATCGTCATCTCCGACATCTGACTCAACATTGTTGTATTGTTCTGCAGCAAATGATTCTGATTGATGATCATTTCGCCAATTTCGTTTAGCATAAATACAACCGCCTCCTTTTCGCGCTCAGCACTTAAATCATCCTCGAATGGTTCCGTTTGCACCTGATTGTTATAGCAGTACGATTCGGTTTGGGTTGTCGAAGCTTCGGCACAACTTTCATTGGTCTGAGTGGCCCGTGGAAATATTTTACGTTCGGTTTGAACGCCATGACATAAAGTATTCGGATCGGTTTGTGTGCCTTGTTTACGCAGTACGCGTCGACTGGTCTGCTGTTCACGATGCACCGGCAGTGTGTGTATTTCCGTCTCCGTTGAGCGACTACGTACTTCCGGCTTCGTTGTTTGGGTAGAGCAATCGGCAAATTGCGGTAAGATTGTACGAGTTGGCGATGATTTCGGCTTAAGGTCGGAGTTTGAACTTATTGAAGAGCAGCTTTTCAATTTCTGCAGGAATCGTTGACGCCGCTGAACACGCATTTGAAAAGGTGCCTTCGTATAGATTTGTCTTATACGTATAACGGTTAACATTTTGCCATCAACCTCAAAGGTGACCGAGTAACTGCAATCACCGCAAATAAAATGGCAGATTGTGAAAAAACACAACACACTGAGAAATTCAACCCACCAGCATTTTCCGATATGCATGCGTCTATTAAGTAGCAGAGGTTGTTTACTCGAAATGGAATTCAATAAAAGGGCCTTCAGATCCATGCGTTAATGTAGATTTAGTAGACAAAACAAATTATTAATTGCAGCAAATTTCGAATATTCCATATTCTTTCTTTCAAAATCAAAAATACATACAGAAATATGTTCACCGTTGCCAGACCAGAGCTCAGAAAAATAAAAATTAAAAAATTAACAACATTAACAGATTACTAGAAAACTTTTTACAAAAGCAGCTTCACTTTAAGGAGGAACAGTGGTGAAAATATTTTCACACTTTCTCCTCGGCTGTCCAGCTTTCACTAGACTGAAGGCTAACTTAATGTCATAGCTTCGTTGAAGTGGGCGATTTGGCTGGAATCGATGTTAATCGTTTCAGATTCGTTTCAGATTCATTAATAGATGCGTAGCTCTTGATTCAAAGCTACAGGTTTTGGTATCTTAAAAAGCCAATAGTTCAGCTAACGAAGTTTGATTCTACGAGGAAGCCTCGAAAAGCTACTCAAGTTTATCTTCGCTTTAAGACTGCATTACTAAGCGAAAGAGTTCCAAAGTTCCAAGTTCCACTTACGTACCATAAACATAAATTTAAGATGGATTTCTTTGAAAAACTTTGGAGTGAGCTTAAAGTTTGGGCTCCTTAGAAAGAGACTATTACTAGACAAACTACAGGTGTAGTCCATCATATCTCGATAGAGTTTGTTTCTGGTTTGTAGCCCACTAGTAAGATAAGCGATAAATCAGAAAGCTAGATATGGAATTGTGTACAGGAATGCCGCACAAAGTACCAGACATGATAAAATTAATGAATTTGAGTGTTTGATCTTCAGCTTTAATTTTCGAAGCATTTCATTTTTAATTAATTACATTACCTAGTGGCAACTACAACATTAAGTTTTCCATGTATCGGTTCTAATATTTAAATGTGGATTGAGTGGGGATCAAATGAAAAGATTGATGCTCTATACACTGTTTGATACTAGGCTACTACTACGACAATGGGCTCATTGTTTAAAAAGGGGAAGCAGTCTGCAATTCTTCCAATAACCTGCAAATTCATGCAATCTCGTCTTGCTTCTATTAAAGCCACTTCATAGCACTACTGTTTCTGATTTATATAGGCAAAATTAAATTAAGTTAGTCTGGTAGGGTAAGGAGCCACGCAAGACCAGTTTTGGTCCTTAGCGATGCCAGAGGAAGGGTAGTTACGTAGTTCATGAAAATTTCAATATGTTCTCCTCCACATGCCTCCGTGCGCCAACCAAATACTTAAAAAGGGGCCTGCTAATGCAGGACAAGTGACAATAGATGCTCCATTGTTTCCCTGGTGCCTTGCTATTTACATTTCCTGCAGTCATCTCGATCTGTCAGCCCCATTCTTTGTGCCGCTACCATACTTTGACAGGTGAGTATTCCAACAAATCACAGATGGGATTATAGGAACATGATTTGAATACTCACCTGTCAAAGTATGGATTGGAAAGTATGGAGAGTGAGTAGGAACTTTGCGATAAATACTCTGTCGCGTTTCCACCGTCGCGTTTCCACCGTCCCTGTTGAAAGGATCGTGTTCATTGCTTTACCACTATTTTTCATGTTACAGCCGTATACCATCGATTGCGATGACTTTGTGACTTACCTTTCTCACTTATTCTCTTCTAGGATCCTCCTACTTTTCCCGACTAAAGCGACAGCTACCCTATTTAACAATCACCACAATTTTAGGCGTCAACCGCAACAAGATACTCAAATCCCTGCCGACAGCTCTTCGGAAAAAGACGAATAAAACGGTGCGCTATTTACAAGGCACCAAGCTACTTCTTCATCAGACTTATTTTTTTTTCGTACGATCCTAGGAGAGTCATTCTTTTTCTTCTTTATTGGCGTAGACACCGCTTACGCAATTATAGCCGAGTTTACAACAGCACGCCAGTCTTTCCTCCTTTTCGCTGTTTGGCGCCAATTTAAGATACCAAATGTAGCCAGGTCTTTCTCCACCAGGTCTTTCTAACGGAGTGGGGTTCTTTTCATACATTCGGGCGACATGACCTTGCCAGCGTAGCTATACTCATCGCTCCATCGACTGCGATATTCGCCGTTGCCAGTGCGCAAAAGACTCAAAAGCAATCGTTAGAGTTTTTACTGGCCATTGTTCTATAGGCATTCATGCGGTAAAGCTAAAAATCTTGTCGGACGCAAGTTGTCAAATTTGTATAGAGAAAGGTGAGGTGGAAACATCAGCTTTCGCAAGAGTAAGGTTAAAATATCTCAGCGGTCTTACCTTCGGGGAACCAAAAGACATAGCCGAAACTGTCATTAGCCATCTCAACAAATTTGTGATAGGTACAAAGAGCTTATCGATTTGTGAGGATCTTATGATCGATTAATATATACGAGTTTTGGATATCAACACGGGCTGATTAGGCTAATTTAACTTACAAAGCGACTGGTTCCTTCTAAATGAGCATGGAAAGAAGAAACTCGATCACATGTTTCCGCAGATTCAGATTTCAGTCATCTCGAAGCGAAAACGTTTTCTAGGAACATTAAGCAGTAATTTCCGTGCAACGTTTAACCTTTTAGCTGATCCCATCGGTGCGCCCTGAATTCTGACGACTACGGTTCCAGCAAACAGCCTTTGACAAAACCGCTACAACAACAACTCAATAAGATAAATTGTATTCGATTTTATGATTTAAGTATTTATTTTACTTTTCGTTTATTAAATATTCAGTCCGTTCTATTGCGATGAAATTTATACAGGACCACAATTATTAAAATAGTACTCTCATAAACATATGTTAACAACATAGACTTAATTACATATACAAAAGAGAAAACAAAACATTTCAAGTTCTCTAACATCATTCGGAAGTTCACTCGTGAGCGCAGCACTACTACAACAAATGCTTGCTGACGCTTCAAAGTGCACATCGCACAGCGCTGTTGAATAAATCCAACTTTTTGCAAACATTCGGATTAGGAGGTAAATTTTTATTAATTAACGAAAACAATAAGGAAAGAAGGATTTCCACCATTTTTGTTCGCTGCTAATTTGGGACTAAAAAGTGCAAAAAATGAAATGCTGTTAATACGTAATTTTTGGCATGTAATATGGAATCTCGTTGGCAAAAGTTTGCATGTTTTGTTATATACGAATGTACTCGTGTAATGCGCTTACGAGTACGTGGGTATGTGTAGTGTGGATATTTAGTGTTGTTGCAGTGTTCTTTTCGCTGTTACTTCGTGTTGTTGGTATTCTAATGTTGTTCGCTCTTATCTCTTTCACCGTTAAGTATATGTATAACAATTAATTTAACTACACGTTAGTTTTATTTAGTATATTAACCTCCCACGCTTAGCCAAGTAAACATTTGAACTCCATTGGTAAGTTGCACGCCCTCATAAACCACTTACACCACCGACTTGCTATTCTTTTTGCCACCATGTCGTGGTGGTGGTGGCGCATTGTAGGACTTCTCCGAGCCAGAACTCACATGGCCTGCGAAAAAAATTTAAAAGGTTTGGTCAATTAGTATACGAAATAAATTTTAAAATGCTTTCAGTGAAAGTACAGTTAGTTTGTCACATATCTTAAAGCACACATACATAAATCTCATATCAAAATTTACAAACAGCACACACACACCTCTTATCAATTTTTCAATTCTTGAAATGTTGATTGAAGTGAATTCTTTTTGAGCGGTAAAAGAGAAAGAACCAAAGAAAGTTAATATAAAAGTTCGTTAAATTGGTCGTTTCGATTAGCCGAATTTAAGGATATGTTAAACCCGTTTAGTAGTAAATGTTCACAAACACGATGTGATATCATATTGCATTATAGTAAGGTAACAGAAAAAAAATTAAAAAAATATAAAGAATATAAAGAATAAATGAACAAATTAAAAAAATGTAGAAAAATAAAAACTAAGAAAAAAATTAATTAAAAAATATAAATAAATAAAATTAAATAAATGAAAAAAAATAAATAAAAATTAATATAAAAAAAAATACAAGAAAAAGCGTTAACTGAAGATGTAATACTCTTAACAGGTGAATTTTTTATTGCATAAAAGTGAATATTAAGATCTTTGCTCTGAGATTGATCGGTTAGTTTGAATAGCAGCTATGCCGGTCCGATCCGAACAATTTGCTCGGAGATTGTAATGATGCATTGGCAAATAATTTATGCGAAATTTCGTGACGATACCTTATCAAATAAAATGGTTTTCCATACTAGAACTTGCGTTTGATCGGTCAGTTTGTATGACAGCTATATACTATAGTTGTCCGATCTGAACAATTTTTTCGGAGATAATACCTTGACAAATAAAAAAGTTTTCCATATAACGACTTGAGTTCGAACGGCCAGTTTGTATGGTTTGTATGGCAGATAAATGCTGTAGTTGTCCAATATCAACGGTTCCGACAAATGAGCAACTTCTTAAAGAGAAAAGGACGTGTGCAAGATTACAGATCGATATCTCAAAAATTTTCGTCACGCTGATGATTTATACAGTGAAAATTCTATTAAGCGGGCACCATCCACCACCTAATTCTGAAAAACACTATGAAATGATGTGATGTCATGTCGCCCTGAGTGATCAGTTGACAACAACAAACAGTTGACGTGATGCTTTGATGTGATGTTGAGTATACAGTGTGGTGATGTGATATCACATCGTATTGCTATGTTTCACTTAATACCCGACTGTACCGTTTTCACGTTAGTCCAGTCTGCATAAGAGAAGTGAACCCGAATTCATATTCGGCCAAGGACTGTCAACACGACGACATTTCTCCATTTGTTTGGAAAATATTTTCTGTTACTACGACAATAACAATCACAATATAATTATTTTATGACGTTGTGGTATCACATTGCTTCTGATCTGATGTAAAATAAAACCACAACCAGACCAACCGGCAATTTCTTTGATGGCTGATCCCTAATTACGAATAATTACGATTCATTAAATCTGTTTTTGTTGTTGTTACAGCGGCAGAACACATTCCTGACTTAATTTCGAGTATTGGTGCCGACTGGACAGTCCGCTCCCACGACAGTCGGGTCTACGTAACCGGAGCGGACCCGGATTTCTTTTTCGGCCAAGGACTGTTAACTCGGCAGAATT